CAAACCTTGTTTATTGCCTCTGCGTGAACCAGCAGGCCAAAATCAAGGGCTGCTAAATTGGCAGCGGCACTCAAGACACTCCCTAATGTGGATCGAGTAGATTTAATATCAGTACTTCTCATGTTTTTGAAAAACTTGATGGCTTCTATCTCATAACCCTGCTGTGCATGCCCTGAAATCATTACATTCCACGCTACAACATTTGGGTTAGGAATCTGAGAAAACAATTGACACGCGTAATCCAACCTTCCTAGACCAACAAACGTGTTTATGATCATCACAGAAGCGACCTGGTCCGGAACAAGACCAATATTCTGCATCTCCTTGAACAGTTTCAGTGCTTTTCCGGCTAGACCAACTTTAACATATCCCGCAATCATCGATGTCCAGGAAACCGTGTCTGGGCTCACTGACCCATCAAACACTTTGCGAGCATCTACCAGAAGATGACACTTGGCGTAAGTATCAATAAGAGCACCTTCACAAAAAGAACTCCGTTCAAGCCCCAGCTTTATGACACTGCAATGGACTTGTTTGCCCAACTCAATATCCATCAATCTCGCACAAGCAGACAAAGCAATGGCAAACGTGAACTCATTTGGCAACACTCCGCAATCACGCAATGCCCCAAAACACCTGACAACCTTTTCCCAGTTTCCATGCTTTGAATGCATAGATAAAATCGAGTTCCAGGCTAATACATCCTTCTTGTCAAGCATGTCAAAGGCTTTCTCGGCAAAATCCACATGGCCACATTTGGCGTATAGATCGACGATAGCATTTCCTAGCAACCCACTTGAACTGATCCCATATTTCAAGCAGTGAACATGGATTACTTTGCATGTTCTTGAAAGTTGGGCGAGTCTTTGAGGTATTCCGTCGAACAAGTTGTGGGTTTTGCTTGTCTTGCATAGTCGCAGGCAAGTCTGATGGAGAAAAGTATATAGCTGATTCTGCGGAGGTAAAGCAGGCTGCGAATTCAGGTTCGTGTCAGCAAAAGCAGAGCAAGTGGCGAGGAGATGAAAGGAGTAGGAGTTGTCGTTGGGTAATGCTCTGGAGCGAAACCTGAGAAGCATTGACCCGGGGACGATTCAGACATGATTGAATTGTGCCATCGAGTATATGTCGTCGTTACGGAGTTGCATTTCGTAAAGAATCAACACGTCGATTACCTATTTCCTCATTTCTTGCCTACTCGCCTCCTACTCCTAATCATGCAGTATTCTCAACTATACAGTATAAACTCAATTGGTAACAATAATAATAGTGAAAAGTAATTATTTTAGTTGATAAACTATTCGTAATAACATAGTTAAGTTTTGAAACTTTTTTCCTCGTAATTTGGTTTTTAAATTTATAAAATTGTTTTTGCTTGTATTTTTATATCATTATGAAGATTGAAATGTTTGCATTGCCTACTTATAGGATACTTGACCTTCCTAACTCACGTTTTTCACAGATTTCTTCATGATTTTGGTTTCTTAATTAAAAGTTCTTCTACTGTACTTGCGGCTTCTTATAGTCTTGAACTCTGTAAACCAGATATATTAACTTCAAAAATAACTCATAAATATATGAATTTCTGATGAGTATTTGATTTCTCTTGCGTATTAAACAAACTAGTTATTGGGTATCACTCAGATTATATAATTTCAAGACATTTTGAACCCATTGAGAGATCATGATTGAAATTGAAACTCGAAGAATGTAAATACAAGACATGTTACTAAAAAACCCCATGTAGATTAAATTTTATAATCTCCTAATTCCTTTTATGTTCTAAGTATGTATGACCACTTTAGCACATGCAGACTTGGATTTTAATTGGGTTAAAAATGAGAGAAATATCTGTTAATTTTTAACAAATATATAAAAGCTAACATGTAAAATTCATAAAAACTCTTTCAATTTTTAGTTTCTTTGATATAATTATAAAAACACATATCATCCAATATATCATACAATATATAAATATATAACAAAGATTTAGTCAACTTTTCAAGAATAAATTCAGAACTTTATTTCATTTAAGTGCTCTTTTTGTTAAGAAAACAACCAAACAGGTAGATTTAAGCATGAGAACACATAAGCAGCATCCCATTTTGTGTTGTGATTTTTAACTACTGTTTCTGAAAACTCTCCTCTTCTTACTAGTCTAAATGTTATAACACAAATGCTTGGCTTTTAGCAGTTAATCTTCGATTGAGGGGTGTGTCGTGTTGGGCAGTCTCCGGCCACGCACAAACGAGCTGAACAAACGCAATGCTCTTGATGGCTGTGCATAACGCACCATATGTGCCGCACCCCTTACTGTCGCAAATGTCAATAATTTCCCATACTCCGTTGCCCAACCTCCCACCTGAATCACCAGCAATTTTTCAAGACCTTTTTCTCTCAACCATTACTTAAAACTTTACACAATAAACACTTGCATCATCCATTACCTGTCCTTTGTGAAACCATGCTCCATATGGAAGTGTAATCTCCAAATTCAGATCATGCGCTAGCTCACGGACCAGTGTCCGTGATCCCAGCAGAGGTACGACTGAATCTTGGTCACCACTGCCATCAATTGCAAAATAACAATGAACCATATTCAGTAGAAGACAAGAATTCACAGCAGCTCCTTTTTAAAACAACTGCATAGACATGTGATTTTACCTGAACACCCAAACTGGGATACCATTTTGGATAATTCGTTTCAGTACAGGAAGCATGTTGAGATTACCATCAGTGTCACTGTAATTTAAAACTCTGTCCACCAAAAGATCAGTTAATCACTACTATATGTCAAACAAGACTGTAGTGAACAAAAATTACAGAACAAACATGGCATTGTAAGATCATTACCCACTGCACATAGACCAGCTGTAAGGCAATTTAGTCCGATTTGCATGGAGAGCCTCCTGAACCTCGGGAAGATTGAAATAGAAGCGTCTTTCGAAGCTTAAACACACATCGACTCCAAGGCTCATCTTAGTTGCCTGCATATATTACAGAAATGAATATGTTGTAGAAACAAAAGAGCATATGCCAGGAAAAATGAGTAACAAAGTATACCATTTTCCGCAATCGTAGCTCTTGCTCTACTATAGACGGATAACACACATCCAGAATCACATCATAATTGTCGACATAATCACCAACTACAAGGTTTGCCTCCTTGATTAAGTCGCTGCATGAGTGGGATACATTGTGGGGACTTGAAAAAGTATAATCATCAAAATCACATTCATTCATAATTTTGAGGCCAAGTTCATCAGAAATCATTCCGTGTGACCAGAAGAATTCATATGTTGCTGGAACATCTAGATCAAGTTTGAGAAGTGGGTTTCCAATCTAATCAAAAGGAAGTCAATAGAAAGGAATTAACCAAGTTATATAAATAGCCACAAGATACCAAACAGAAGACCCAAAAACAGGGAAATTCAGTTTATGGGGTTTCTTACTGCAACTCCTTTGATGTTGAACTTGAAACCTGTTGAATGTAAATTATGGTCCAGCAGAACATCAGCCAATTGTGGGATATAATGCCCTGTAAAACAGCATTTACGTGAGATTCTTAACCAATGCCAGTAAAACGAACTGTAAAAGAAATAAGGCAAAAGAGAGTGATTTAAAAGTTAATATCATCTTCTCAATTGAGAACTATTCCATACTTTAGATTTCCCCTGTCAAGAGAAACCAAACCTTTTGCTTCTAAATCCACCAAAACAGTATATACAATCTTCTATGACCCTTCAAATTCCTTAATTTGAAAACGTTTTACATCAAATCACTAGACAAAAAAAAAATCCCAAAAGTCATATGCATAATCATAAATGAAATTTATTTAGTCAGACCTGCATAGCTTTCTCCTGTAAGAAACAGTTCTCTGGATCTGAACTCAGGGAACTTCTTGTACCAATTCAACAAGAAAATATACATATCCCTAGCTGTCAAAAGCAATAAATTTAGCTCAAATCAGTTAAACTGCAAAATGGGCCTGACATTGTAAGCTAATCAATATCGATGTGGTTTTGTTCATAGATAAAATTCTTAGGATGAAGTCAATCAAGATAGGTGATGAAAGTTGAACGTTACCAGTGGAGGCATCCCCAGAATTATAATCAGAAGTTGTATTTGAGTAGGACCATCCTACTCCAGCAGGTGACTCAACAAAGAGGAGATTTGATGCTACAAGAAAAGCAGTAAGAAAGCAGACATGAATCTAAGTAGAAATTCCTTGACACCCAAATGAATTTTCCCCACAATGAAGCATGCTGCTGAGTTTGATACCTCTATTCCAGGACAAAGAATTCCTTCTAAGTCCTCGGCCATCACCTGTAGGGAAAAATGGACCCAACTCTGTGAAGGCACCTCCACCAATTGAAGAGCAACCAGGACCTGCACATTCAATATTATGCTACTTTTAGAATCCTAATTTGAAGTGAAGAGGGTGCAGTTGAATTGAGGTTGGGGATGCATCAGAATAGAAAAGAACAAGGGAAGAAAAAACTGTAGAACAGTGAAACACAAATACAGGAACAAGTAGAATAGTGAAAAACAAAGCTCTCTCAGAGAATGAGGAAGAAATTAAGCAACCTCCATTGAGCCAAAGAGTGAGAGGCTTGTTGTGAGAATTGTTTTCTGCCTCTGTAAAGTAATAAAACAAGCTCCTTCCAGCTTTGACATCCACATCAACATACCCAGCAAATTGCCTGAACTCAACCTTCGGCTGCCCAGGCAAGCTCACCACCAAATCCTCCAATGGGTACCCTTCCACCACCTTACTAATCACTAAACATAACCCCACTACCGTCAACAACCCACCAAACCAAAACCTACCCATTCTCAATCTCTCCACTTCCAAAACACCCACACTTACCTTCCTATATCTATATTTTTATATGCAAGAAAACAAAGTAGCGGCGTCTCCATATACGTATCTTTTTTCCTGATAAAGATACAAAATACGTATCTTTATCAAAAAATTCCGTTACAACCGCAGACACGTGATTCCTGGCTTTTGCTTTATCATAAAGGCAAACAAAATTAACACCCACTCGGACTTTAATTACATCTACGAGTAGCCAAGATCTGAATTTACTTCATTGCCTAAATTTTATGAAGTTATATATATATATATATAAATAGTTGCAGACCTGGAGTCTACAGGCCAAAGGACTTACAGCTAAGCTACTGATGTGATTTCTGAGATCTCATTCCTATTATCCAAACTAGTATACATTTGCTTTTAATGAAAGTAGAGATATAGTAAGAAAAGCAGAGAGTTTTAGAGAGGTTTGGTTTAAATATTTTGAAAGACAGCCATGTCACATCTGAGTTGGATTGGCGTCTTCTAAAGTTGATAAGAAAGAGAAGATAATGGTCAACAAAAAAAGTCAAAGCAGGAGAGAGGTATCTTCCTCGTTTTAACGATATTTTTGTGTGGTAATTAATGCAATGGTCACGCGCACGTTAGGAGAGTGAGGAAAACGGTCCAATCAGAAAAGAGTTGATAAATCCAAGGACATGTACCACTATTAAAAGTCGCGACAAAAAAAGCCGCCCTTATTTATTTATTTTAAAATATTTTTATTATATCAACTTTTCACGTACGCCACAAAATTGTATTGAGGAAAGTAGAAGAAATTTGAAAAGAATAAATGCAGAGAGCCGGCTCAATTTTAAAAGGAATAATTGGATAATTTTCTTTTGAGTATTATTTAAGGAGAAATTCTTTATCCAAAGTAAAATATTGAGTTTGATTTAAATTATGCATCTTATCATTTTTTATATTATATTATAATTAATTTTTATTTATTCACTTATATTAATAAAATATATGTATGTAGTAATTTACTAATCTAAAAATATCAATTGTTTTAATTCTTAATTTATTTAATGGGTATTATCGTATCTGCACTCTTTTATAAATTAGAATAAGAGACCTATCAACTCAACGTTCGTTTATTTAACAAGGGAATATATTTAGCATTAGAGAACCAATAACCCTAAAGCCATCCAAACCCAAATCAACCTATCGAATTATCAACTTTGTTAGCATCCAAAACATCCCTCGTATACTATACAAGGAGAGTATATCGTAGGACAAGGTCATCATACAATTCCTTCGCTGCATCATAACTTATAAAATCAAGGACAGAATAAGATAATTCACTTACACAAAATTCTTTCTATAGAAAGAGTCCTAACATATAGTTACCATTTTTTAACCTAAAAAATATAAGTCATAACATCTTCCATTTTAGATCCTAACCAAACATGGGAGATTAAAGAAATACAATAGACCATTTTGACCGGTTAAGGTTCAATTTCAATTTATAAAAAAAAAAAAAAAAATTAATTGGACTATATATTGGCAATATTGAACATATTCATATATATAAAATAAAATTACATTAGTACTATAGATAAAAAAGAAATTAGTAAATCACCAAACCATGGACGCAACGAGAATATTGTTTTGCAAATTTTAACTTAAACTTGCATTACCATCAACAGCATCTCCTCTAAAAATTGGATATCTACTTCGTATAAATTCAATCAAACACGTATTTTTGGTTCTTTAGGATCTCCATTAATTTAACATGATCAATATAATCAAATCTTTTGTCATATCCTTAAATTTATATCTCATTTTGCAATTTCATAACAGATAAAACACTGATACTATCTTAATATATTGAAACAATAATCTCAAAATTTTAACATTATAAAAATAAAAATAATCTATTATATATATAGTTAACACACCCTCTTACATGCAAAAGAGAGTTTTAAGCTTTCGTACGTTGAATCGAACATAAAGAAATCACAAGGCTCAAAGACACGCCGTGAAGTATATATTGCTGTTACAAATAAAAATATACCAAACTAATTACAACAAATAAAATTAGATCAAATCTCCATAACAGTGGAATCCTCTAACCAGTATTTCATATTTTTAGGGAGATTAGTTTTCTCCAGAAAATTGAAAAATTTTCCGATAACAATTATTAAAAATTTAAGTCATTCAGATCTCTTCTTTATTTCATATTTCAGGCGGGGAGGTTACCATGTCCTTATTCCAAGAGGAGACACCCATGAGTTCAATCAACCTACTTTCAGGATTTCGGATCATGTAACAAAAGTTAGTTTTTCTCATATGCATTTTGAGATCAATTTCACAATGAAGGCCACTATATATAAAAGTAAAAAGAAATGTGCTCACATATGCAGTAAACAGAAATACTTTACAACGTGTTCGAATATTGAATGATTTCTTGTAAGTCTTGGCTCTGCTACTTTGCTGTTAGTCACTAGCTCCAGAATTTTCTGCACACACTTGTCTAACAGATTAAAAGGGAAAAATTAAAAACCTGTAGCATTCATATATCAGAATACAACCGGACCAAACGTAAGGAATCAAAGGTGGTAGTCAAACGCCACTCCCTCTGCTTTTTGCTAAGAGGTCTTCCTTTGCCAGCTTTTTCTCTATTTATCCTTACATCTGCTAACCCCCAGGTACAACATTTTGTTTCCATATCAAAAGAGACAAGCCTGAAAACGCCATCATTTTCTGTGGACAAACCAGTTGTGGATATCTCGTTTACATATTTTACATACACAGGCCGGTCCTTGAATCGATCTAACTCTTGTGGAACCAGGACTACTCTTTCAACACCAGGAGATGATACCTATAACATGTTTTTCACACAAGAGGCAAGGAAAAACTGTATATGAGAAAAGGCCTTCAGTTTTAAGGTCCTTTTAGATGAAGGAAAATGAAGGGGAGGGAGGGGATATAGATAATTGATCATGAGCAAGCTACGCTTCTCTTTTTCTTTTTTTTTTTTTCCTTTTTTTTTTCTGTTTGACCCATTTCTATTTAATATGAAGTCTAAAGCTAATATTCTATTGTGAGGACCAAATATTCTCATTCCCCTGCCTCTACCCCTCTCCTCCCCGCCCCCAAAATAAAAAGAAACTGTTAGCAAAGCAGTGGGTAAAACGTAGTTAATTTAATTGAGATCCTAAAATCTAACTCGCTAACGCTGTGAAAATAATAAAGAAATAGGAAAGAGTAAGAAAAAAGAATCTTTACCTCCAAAGATATATTGTCAGGTATAGTTTTAGCAAACTCAGCTTCATCCAGCCTGGTTCTATATGCTAGAGAGAAAGCTTGAATGTCTTCCAAACTAGGGGAACCAGATCTGTGATATTTTGTTATGGCTTAGAGCCCAATACACTGAAGAACAAAATGACTAATTTTAATAGTGGCGGGGAATAAGTCAGAACATGACTGGCTCAATGCGGAGACATTTTAAAAGATTGCTGAATGACGGCCACAAAAGTTTCTTACCGGTTATATAAACCAACATGCAAATGTTCTGATGCTACAGGCCAGCATGTGACTGTTGGTGCACGGTGAAAGAAGTGAACATCTAAAGTTTTGGATATTCATATATGATCTCGCTAGCATTTAATTGGTCTCATATGAGCGTTCTCCATATAATGAAGAGGATAGAACTGTATGATGTTACTCCTAATGAGAACTCTTTTTCTGCAATGCTTACATTAACTGTGCAGCGAACTACCTAACTCTTTTCATTCTGTAACTATTCTACATGTAACATGCCCCTTCAAAGTTTCAAATACCATCTACACTGCTCATTCAGTGTAATGACACAAATCATTTCTCAGGTAATAGAGTCAAGAGAAGCTTACTTGTTAGTGAGCCTCTCTATGCGCACTTGAATTGTGGAATTTGACAGTGTCTTAAAGGCATATATCTTCAGTTGACCATCAAAGGACTGGCAAACATCTTCGGCTATTGCTAATGCTTCTTTATCCCACCAAGTTCCCCCCAGCTTAATCCCCCCTCCTCCACCTCCATCCCCAACCTCCAAAAGAGAAGAACAAGAACACAGAACAAGCAGAAAAAAGTCTTATTAGTTGTTGCTTCGATCCAGAAAATTAAGAGAGAGTACCATAACCTCGGGAAAAAAAGAAACTTACATAGAGGTCAGTCTCATTCTCGATAAACTCATCTTCAAAGTATGAAGCATCATCCACTGCTATCTCTACGCAATTAATAAACTGCCATTTAAAAGCCTTAAACATCCTTCTTGGCATTAAAGCTTTGATCGAAAAAGAACCAGTTGAACTATGTGAAAGCGAACTCCGAAATGCACTAGAGTCCATCAAATTATCAGAATTTACCTTCTTTTCCTTTTTAATTTCTGATAGTTAATTTTCCAAACGACCAAACAGAGAAAGAAAATAAAATAAAACTAACAAGAAAGAAGAAGGATATGTAATACCATCATCGAATTCATCAAAAAGAGCCTGCTCCTCTTCTTGCTCTTCTTCGTCCACTGGTACTTGTTCAATTATGTTTGGTTTGAGACGGAGCTCGGCAGATTCTGACCTCCCCCTCTTGGCAAAGATCGCGTTGGACTTACTTGGAGTTCTACGAGAAGCGTAATTCGGAAATGGGAAATGAAACTTACATGCTGAACTAGATGGCTTGCAGAAGCTGCTGCTTGTGGCGGGTGGAACCGAAATGCTAGATACTCGCAGGTCCCAAAGTGAAATCAAATTCATTTTTGTCTACTTCGTCGTACAAACTAGAGACTCAGCTTCCTGTTAGTATTTACTTCGATTCGAAGGGTTAGAAATCAGATTTTAGAATTTTCGGACCACCTTGTTCATGGCTGAACGGATTTCGAACAGTGCCTTCTCAAAACGGTGTCGGCTTTTTTGGGTGGGGGATAGTAGTATGGCAACGTGAAACGTCATCGTTTAGGATGGCTCTCCCTACATCTATTATTTGGTGCTGCATAATTAAAATCGAAATTTAACGTGAAATTGTGTAAATTGTCGAGTTAAAAGAAACCAATTTACTCGTTTGTTGAAAATGATTTTTTTTTTCTTATACTAAAAAAAAAATAATCTAATAATAATAACAATATACAGATTCAAGAACAAGCTCCAGCTGCAATATTCATATGGGAAGAAATGGTATAAACTGCTTTGGGGTAAAAATATTCCGGCGTTCATGTGTTGGGAGTATGTCATGTACGCAGAAAACGTAAGTCAAAGAGAAGAGAGAGATGCTTTGGCGGTAGAAGCAGCAGGTGGTGATGGAGAAGCAGTTGCATTATCCGTCCAATTCTTTTCTCCCCAGTGCCATAACATGCTTTCCCAGAAGCAAAAGTCTTCAAAGCAAGTCTCCAAACGCTTGTCTTTTATCTTAATTTTCCAATGCCCATCAGTGTAATTTCCCTTCTCAGCTTGCCTCCTATCCCACTCCAACTGTGCCTTCTGCTTGGATCTTAGCAGGCAGAACTTTTGCAAATTTTCTGGCATGCTATCATGCACCTTCCACCATCTCCTGTGAGCAACATCACTAGCAAACTCCTGCAAAATGTCCACATTCCAGTTGCAGTCATAGTCGCGGAAGCAAAGCCACGGCTTATTACCCAGATAGTGGAGAACATAAAGTACTGGAGGATCAGCTCCAAACAGTTCAATCTTCATTTCTTTCTTCTCCTCTTCATCACCTTCCCAAAAGTGCTTTAAGAAGTTCATTCGTTTTGGAATCCGGTGCCACCATGTGAATACTTCATTCAGGTACCCCTGATCTCCTCCATTGTACGATTCAATCTCATTGATATGATCCATCAAAAGCTGGAATGTACAATTGGAGGGTTCAACAACCATCACACCTGAGTTAAACATTGTCGCATTGTTTCCTGTAGCAGTTATTTCTGGCATCTCAAATAGCAAATCAATATTCCTAAGTATCAGGAGATCAGCATCAATAAAAATGATCTTGTCATACTCTGTCAGTTGCCAAAGACGGAATTTGCTATAGTTCCACTCATTATACGCATCTGGTTCTGCCCTAGGATTCCTAATTCTTTGAATTGTGTGAATTTTCCACCCAGCAGCTTCCAACCCACCCCTATGATATTCGCTAATTGATTTGTCAACAAGTATCACAAGATCCCGTGTCGACCCTGCCATGCGGATACTCTGGGCAGCAGTTATGGCCCCACAAACATATACATGCGCTGAGTGTAAAATTGTTGCATATGCTTCTCGGTGTGCCCTTGCCGAATGTAGATGCTCTGCTAAAAATAATTAGTTAGTTCTAGTAGGATAAATATCAAGAATAAGATATTGAATCCTTGTATTCTGCTATAATAGCATATTTGTCATATGATGATAATGGTATGTTATGTAATCTTTTTATCAAGAATGCTAAGTGTAAAAAAAAAATGAAAACGTAAGTAGTGCTAACATGGAGTCTTTACATATTACCAAACAAGAAATATTAGAAACATGAATAAAGAGAACGATAATCTGGACAGGACCAACTCATCAAGTATCTGGCAACTCAGGACCATACAAATTTGACTAATACTAATACAATAAACTTATCACCCTAACATTCTTGATGTCTATAAGGTCTGAAGCAATTGAATTTTTTTCTTTTTTCCAAAAATTGTTTCAATTACTTTTCTCCTTTATTCAAAAAATGAGCTTCTAGCCATAAATAATTTCTTTTCTTACGTCTGATTGACTTGCTTTCCTCCTAAAAAAAAGATAGGACTTAGCACCGGAAAGTCCTAGCTGTGGAGCTATGGATTCTTTTTCCCAGCTACCAACTCTTCTCCTCAGTCACGGAACTCCCACTTCCTAGTCCCAGGTCAAGGGATAATAGCAATGGCATGTCTTGAGTCAATGCTTTCAAGAAATTCCTCTGAGCAGCCCTAGCTCTCCTCCCAGGAGTGAGAGTATGACCAAATGCCCTGATTCTTTCCTTCATTAAAATAGAAGGATATTGACTACCATTTGTTCTTTCCTTCATTAATAACTTTTAATATTTCCCTACTGTACTTGTACTCTCTGTTCTACCTTTCTCTCTCTGTCAGACAGATCTCTGGCCACCTATAACCAGCAAGTTGCCAATGCTTGGGTGGAAAATTCTGAATCCAGTGACATGCGAAGACAGCAAGCAGCTAGAGCCTTCCCATTTACCCTTCCCAATAAGCATCTTAGAAAACCTTTTCATTTACTTTATTTAATGTATTTCCTCAATAGATCTAATAGCTTGAATAAGGAAAAAAGTAGCACAATGAGGTTGCTCAAAAAAATCAAAACCGTGTTTTCAGTGGATTCAGAAGTTTACAAATTTATTACTAACGCAAATAGGAATTTTCTATATCATTTCATTTTTATGACTCTCGTCATTCCAGATTATGTAACGTAAGTACAAAACACATATTTGCCATAAATTCTAATGTATGCAAAGACTGACAGTAGGAAGATTTGAAGCTCCCAACCACCATCAAGCAAAATTCATGAATATTGGATAAACTTAAAAAAAGAACTAGTTGAAAACTAACCTTTAGCATTGAGAGGGACTGCAAGTTCACATGAGCCAACTGGGAGGTGCACCTTTTGTCTCAACCTATTTAGATCAGGTTTGTACAGCCATGCATTTCCCTTACGTACCACAAGTTCCTTGCAAGTAAAGAGATTTGGGATAGGGAAGCAATCTGTCACCAAAACCACCTGCACTGGGTGAAGCCCTTTAGAAGAAGCAGCAAGCCTTGCTGCTGCAAGTTGCAAGTGCAATCGAGCCACATCCCTTGACCATTTCCCTGATCTGTTGCATGGAAGCTTGACAGCAATAAGATCAATCCGTGGCTTTCCAGGAGTTTGAATCCAAGGTAAAGAAGGACAAGTGGGAACCTCAAATTCTTCTTCTTCATCAATCCATTCAGGATAAAGGGATTCCCAAGTTATGCTATTGGGCACATGGTCCAGGTGCAGAACAACATGTTCTGCATCAGGTATAAATTGCTTCCACTTATCAATCTCACTATCATTAAAATTTAACAAACCTATTCCCTGATAATTATTTGTGTCAATCAGGCTCTCAACTAAACTTGATATCTGGTTCCAGCTGACATCTAAGGTAGATAAATATCGTGGATCAGCAGTTGCAGTTTCTCCTATCCATCTACCCACAAAACTAGGCCTGCATGCAGCAAACTTCCAATTCAAGATTTGGCAACAAAGCAGGGAAAGAAATTGCTTCTCAACATAGTAAAACTCCTAGCCGATGACAACTAAAACCCAGTAGAAAGACATAAAAGCAGGTTGAGTAGGCAACAGAACATACCTAGACGAAGAACTGGATGGACGATCTGCAATATAAACTGCTGGAGATCGAAAGAGTGTAAAGAAGGTTCCCAACAAAATAATCACCAACACAGCTTTCAACGTTGATATCTTGCAGTTTAAACTTCTATACTGAAAGGGAACATTGGAAGCCCTTTCAACATCCTTAAAATCCTTGTTCCTTTGGAACCTTCTCCTATTTGTCTCTTCCCTAAGTTAAGACATTAACAAGTAAGTCCATGCACATAAAGTAAACTAAAGCTAAGCCATGACAGGAATCAAGATGAAGAACTATTATTTGCGAACGAGGCACAGAGGATTCTGGTTGTTTAAAATATAAGAAAATAAAACTGGCTTGAATGGAGACTTTTGTCTAATTTTTGTTCCTCAACAAAAGGGATTTTCCCTAGTCCCATGTCAAGTTTTTTAAAAAATAAATATGATTAGAGAGAATAGAAAAGAATATCAAAATGGCAAAGTGTTCCAATCCCTTTACATGATAGACAAAGAGAGATCCCTAAAATAACCTTAAGCCTTAACACATAAGGTACCAAAATAGCCATATCCCATAGGTAAGATGGATTGCTAGTACAATCCCTAAAAGTCCGAGTATTGCACTCCAACCACGAACTCACAAGCCAGCCAAGATGCCACCTCTCCACAATATATCTATATCCTTCTTCTTCCTACCTCCTTTTAGGAAAGTAGAAAGAAAATAGCATATGGAAGGGGGGAGCACCCAACAATAGCCAAAAGAATCAAAGAGATTAGACTAAAGCCTCCAAGTCATCTCAAGATGCAAAAAGGGATTTTTATGAGATTCTACCTCCTTCAAACACATTACATGGAGAAATGACATGGTTAGTTCTATGAATTTGCAAACAGTCACTAGTACTAAGCCTATCCAAAGCAGCTGCTTAAGCAAAAATTTTAACGTCATAGAGAACTTTCGCCCTCCAAACGGTGCTAGTAAAGTAATCACTGAGGCTATAAGAATTTTGGGTGAGACAAGAAAGACGAGATTAAGTTGAATAAGTTAAAAGATTCCCTAATTTTTATGTCACAATACTATCTGCAAAGCAAGCAATGCAATATGCAGACAACTATAAACAAAAACACCTTAAGTTTATTCTTATCAATCACAGACAAACACATACTTGGGACTGAATTGATTCCTTAGCAATACCTTTTTCTTCCCCGTACAAGAAACAGAAAGATCTGACAACAGAATCTAATGATTGTATGAGTGAATAGAGAAACTCAAATATTTTATTTGTCAGATAAGTACAACATAGTTTTTTCCTTTGCTGAAGATTTTTCCGTTTAAGGTATTCTTTGCAAGGTGTAAACACGTTTGTAATATTTCTAAGGTTGGCTCTCTCTTGCACTTAAGCAAAGCTGCCTGCTAAGTGTTCATTTCATAGCAGGAGTAAATTCAAAAAGAGAAATGCTTTTGTGGAAGGAGAGAAATGATAGGGCATTTAAGGATGTGGTTTTTCCTTTTAAAAGAGCGAGAGATAGTTGGCTCCAAATCTTTTGTTCTTGTCTAAAGTTTAGCTTTCATCTGAGGATTTGGCAGACCCTATAGATAGATTGATTGAGCTGTAACTGCTTTTTTTACATGGACAGCATCCCTTAGTGCCTTGTTTAGATGTCTCACTTTTTTCTTCTCTTCAAAAAATAAAAAAAAGAAAAGGTAATGCATCAGAGAGACAAAAATAAAAAACAAAAACCATGATATTGATACCTAGAGAAACCAATTGCAAGTGTAAGCAGTAGATTACTTTTTTTCTGTGGATCCAAATACTTAACATTAATAAACAACCAAGGAGATAAAAATGAAGAAAGTTCATTAATCTAACACAAAATTGCTTCGAACTAAGCCCTGCATCTAAACAAAATAGGCAGGCCTTGGCAAAATTAGATCACCATTCACAAACTTATTAACAGCTTTGATAAATTCGTTAAAAGAAAAAGAAGCAACTAAAATTCAAAGTCAGTAAATACATAGATCGAAGTGACCCGTTTTCATAGGTTAAATAGTCTCTTCAGGCATTGTAATTTAGGCTTAGGCCAGTAGCTATTTCAGTTAATATCGACAACAGAAAGCTCAAATCAGTCAAGTTAAAGCACACGGCACCCTTCTCTAATTAGCAAATTGAGCATCGCAAAAAGCAAAAAAATTTAGCGGAGAAAGAGAGAGAAACTAACATTGAAGTGGACAATCGGAGCCTAGGCTCTACAGGACTAGGGCTGGCGCTTCTCATCTTCCGGATTTCAGCCACGGCCTGGGGAAGGGAGCATCTGGCTGCCGTTTCTTCCAGGAACAAAACAAAAATGAGTAAAGAAATGGAAGCAGTTGATGTTTGCTTAGGAATCGACATACTAAATGACATCAGAGAGAGAAAGAAGTAACCTGTGATCCAATGCCGTGACCTGAGATTCTGCGTAGGTCGGTGTTGGAGAAGTTGAGAATCGTGAGCAGAAGGTGAGTAGTTCGAAATTAAGTTGACACCAGCCAATTTATAGTCGGTTGCCAACAGTCTCCACTCAAGTTAAAAACTCAGTCAACGCGTTCTATAATTTTTACACCCAAAAGAAATGGAGATAGACCCATCTACAAGAAGATGATGTTAGAAAACAGACCGTAAGAAAACTGAGAATTAATGGAGAATCTAGGCGAAGATCATGGTTCTTTCACTTGATTGTCCTACATCAAATTTCTAAATAAAACTTTGGTGAATAAATCAATAATCTTATTTCTAGATTTGACAAAGAAAACAACGATTACCCCCATTTAAGGTAAACAATCTTACATATAGGGACTGTAAGAATTTGGATCAGAAAGGTAGATTTACCTTTGTCAATCGATTGACCCAAATGGAAATTACCCAACTATTAATAATTTTGTAAGGTTTAATAACTTCTTATAGATGTATGATTGTTTTTACTTAAAATAATAAAAGATAAAAATAATGAGTGACTATTATTTTCTTAAAAACAAATGAAATCACGTCAACTTCTAAATCACATTTCTATATAACTGCTAATAGATTATGATATTTTCACAGCTATCGATGTTTATTTTTCATCATCTAATGAATAAAAAATATATATATAATAGTAAAATAGTTAAAATTAGTATACTTTATTTAAAAATTATGAATTTAAAATTTTATTAAATACGTAAATATATTATAAATTCTAATATTTCAATAATTAATTAATTTTATATTTACTTATTTATTATTATTTTATTTATATATATTACTAATTTTCTTTTTTCTTGTTTTCAATTACTAAAAAATCATTCTGGAAGGTTAATGGCGGATTGCATCCTTACCAGAGAGTGAGATTCATTTCCAAATCTAGAAATTTTTTTTTTTTCTTCAAATTAAGATGATCGAAACCTAAGTTTAGGCTGCAGTAGAATCTCAATTCTGAAGGAATTGAAATGCAATTTTGGTATTATCAGAAAATTCGTTTGAAGGGCTATTAGATCTATTGAAGGATTATCCTAAATCATGATCAGAAATGCATTTTTTTGCGATACCAAATTGACTTAAAATAGTGATGTATCTATTTCAAAGTTGCGAACATGGAGATTATTGACTGTAGATGCCACGCCAGCGGGAGAGAGAGAGATTGACATGTGAATCTTACATACCACGATAATGCCAGAAGACGACTTTTTGTAAAATCTTGTGACATCATCGTATGTCAAAACGCATATATAAACATGTATATATATTATATGCAACTAAGATTTTTGTGTTCATTTTTGTTTTTTTCTATGGCTAGCTAATAAGACTTGTTTATTAGCCTACATAAGGGATTCAAAGACTCTTTCAACAAAATACATTTGATTCTTACCCAAGTAAGAAGATAGAGAGAGAGAGAGGGAGAGAGAGGAAGCATGGGATCAGGGGAAGACCTTGCCCAGATGGTGAGAGACTACATTGAATTATCAGAATCAAATACAAAACCCATTACTAGTCAGAGTTATCAATACCCAACTTATCTATATTTGCAGGTCTCTTCTTACTCACACTTGCAGCTTCAAATCTTAATTTCCGTTTACTTTTTCCCTTTCTTATATGTAGTTTATGTGGGATTTATGTTTTAATTGATTAGAAGTACCTTATCTTCTATGTCTAGGAGGCTATTGGGAAACATACAGATGATGAGGCTGAGATTCATAGGAAGATACTAACATATGTTAGAACCCTGGAAACTGTAAGTAATCAAGTTAAGAAAGACCTCAAGGAGTACGTGGTGATGAGACTGAAAATGGAAGGTTATGAAGCTTCTATCTGCAGAACTTCTTGGGTTTCCTCTTTGGGTCTCCATAAAGGTTTTACATTGATAATAACAGTTACCATGCACCTTGTATCTCTAAACTTCAACTAATTATGTGATTGAGCATTAAAATTGATGTTTCTTGATCTTGTGCTGTGTTTTTGTATGTGGGTGAATCAAGTAATTGAATTTAGAGAAGATTATGAGTATATAGATGTGATGTTGATGGAGAGAAACCAAAAGGGTAGGCGCATGCAAACAAGGTTAATTGTAGATACGGATTTCAGGTCTCAATTTGAGTTGGCTAGACCGACTGCAACTTATACTGAGCTCGTCAACAGTCTGCCTGTTGTCTTTGTTGGGAGAGAAGAGAAGCTCAATACGATAATATGTTTGGTAAGTGAAGCTGCTAAACGATCACTTGAGGACAATGGTTTGGATATACCTCCATGGAGAAAGCTGAGTTACATGAAACAAAAATGGTTCGCAAACGAGTGTAACAAAATCTCAGCTTCACCCAGCTGCAGCATTAATATAAATTATAATGAAGAAGAAGACGGTGCTAAAACTGCATTTTGTCCTTCTATTTTTAGCGGACCAGTAATTTAGAGAGGGAGAAAGTGAGGCGAGCCAATTTTGTGAAGGTTCCCAGGACTACTGAGGATTTTTTTTTTTTTTTTTTCCTCTTTTTGATCGGTTTTCCATCCTCTTGCTTTTGTTTTGTAAAACTAATATTCTCAGTTAATATTTTCAGTTATGTATTAATTATACCAGTAGCTCAGTTCCCTCATTGTATAATATTGTTGCTGCGCATACTAAGATTAGACTTAATCTCCTTGTAAATTATACATGTGGGTACGCTGAAGGTTTTTTATAATATAAATTATCCTAAAAATAAAACAAGAATATTCAATGTTCTAAGAGGACACGGTGCACATATACATATATATTTGTATTATAATATAGGAGCGTTTGATTAACTTGTCACAGCATTTGCCGCTTACCACACTCTTCCAAGGAAGACTTGGTGGGTCGATCCTTTTTTTTTTAAAAAAAAAAAATCCAAATTAAGTATAATCATGAAATTTATAATATATATAAATGCTGTTAATTTCTTTCTATTATAAGATATTTACGTGTGTTTTTTTCCCTTCTCAGAACGAGTAGCTAATGATCAATATATATGAAACTATGGTGTATATTACATGTATATGACCTCTTTTCTTGGCTTCTAATTTCTTGCCGGTCACCAGGGAAAGTACTAGGTGTCGCATAAAAATGATTAGTGTACCCCTAAAATCCATTGATGGACATGAATATAAACTGCGACCTCCTCATCCCTTGCAAAAATGGCTCCATTTTCGGCTTCTTTCACGCTCATCCCCAGTGAAGAGATTTTGAAATCAAGTTGTGGACAGAATGAAACTAGAGAAAACCCTTGAGGGGAGAAGTAAAGATGAGTAGGGTAACAATGGATTTGACTTTGATATGATGATTATAGCTTTTGAGATGCTCTGGCAGAGAGAAAGACAGAGAGATCAGATTCTCTGTGCACTGTGATCAGAGAAACTCATAATGGCAATTAGGATCGGCAGCATGCAGCCGCTGACTCGGTTTTTCAAAACAAAACTGAATAAATTACGTATTACCATAAGATTATATTGCATGATATGATGAGGCCGCCCAGTCCAGGTGGTGATCTGTTGAAGAAGTTGCCATTAATGGGTTCATGTCAAATCAGGCAGTAATTAGTCAAGGGAAGATCCTCCGCAGTCCCACTTTGATCAGAAAGGCATGTGAAAGCGCTGTTTTTTGAGACATCCCGAGGCAGGTTTTTTGAGATGCTGATTGTGTATTAATTAGAATACCACTTCCCAAAATATAATTAAATAACAATGTTTAAATGGTAAACAAAACTAAAGAAATAGCAGCCCCTTTGCATGTAGCTTTTTTTTTTTTTTTTTCTTGTACATGTAACGGACTCGTCAAATCTTTGGAGTTGAAACCCGTAAGCCAAGAAGAAGAATACCGTGATAATTGAAAATAAATTCAGAATTACACTGCACACAATATATGCCATGCCGCCTGTTGAATTTCCCACCTCGTGCCCCTCACAAAAAGAAAATATAAAAGAAACGTTCCGCAAATCTCGCATAACAAATTGGCAAATGTGTCGAGTTGAGTTTAAAGCCGGACCAGATAGAGAGCAAATCGACCATGCAGTTTGAACCTGATTATGTACGTATAAGATATAACATGACAATATATTTCTACAAACCTCACAATATATTCCATGGACCAGTTCCTAACCAGCTCCTTGAGAGCAAATAAATCGATATGGATGTGAGTAATACAGCTAACTGGTTGATGATCTCCCTCGTCAAGCTACAATTGCGACCTCATATAAGATATAAGATCACTACCAATTGTGAAACTAATCATGTCAAGCAGTACAAACACTCATTTACAGATATTCAAAAAACTAATCATGTAAAGCAGTACAAACACTCATTTACAGAGCTTCAAAATGAAACAAATAGCACGATTTGAAACTCAAACCACACTGGTGTTGGTTCGAGCTATCCTCTGAGCTTCTTCCAGGTCCTTGAGAAATCTGTGCAGAAAAGCAATTCCGCGTTATATTATTCTGTTTTTGCTCCAATAAGAGATCTAAAAAAAGTATGCTTGATCACTTTCTGCAGCAACCCTTTAATCATCAAATTATTGCCAAACATGTACAATTTTGTTTCAAAGAAGACTGTAAATCACGTTTACTGCAATGGATTAACCCATTAACACCCTAATTATAGCTCCCAGAGTTTATGACTAAAATTCACAGGTAAAGGGCGACTGCACCTTTCAAGCTGCCAGCTAGAAGGAACAATCAATACAAGCTTGGTCCAACATATGCACCTTGCTCAACATCCAAAAAAAACAGAAAAAAAGCACGCACTTAAAGTTTCTGATGCAAGCACATAACCCTGAGTGTGCATCACCAAGCACATTAGGAAGAATATGTTTCCAGAGTTTGGACAACCCATACAGATTACATATGCTTGGAGTTTCTCTTGGAATTACACAAATGATGAATGTGTATCACCAGGGAAATCCAAAAGAATCTCAAGCCTCAGAAAGTTTTCCTAGTTTGAAGCAGAATTTCCGGAGAGACACAAAAAGCAGATGTAGATTATGTAGGGCACATGCTAGTGTGGTCCATTACAACATAAATGAGGTGTAACCTGACATTTCCTTACCTTTTTTAAACACAAGCAACACTTAAAGACTTCAAAGTGCCCATTTGGAGGATATGAATAATAATGTGACACAGTTGAAATAAAAATAATATTTTATTCCATCATCAAATTAAGTTCAGTGGACTTATAATTCCAACCTAGCTAAGTAGGAACCCGGAGGGATATGAATAAGAATGTCACACAAATAACACAAAGTTGAAATGACAATAGTATTTGATTTCCATTATCAATTCAAGTTTGGTGGACTTACAATTCCAACCTAGCTAAGGAGGAATCAGAAATCTAGCAAATTTAAGGTTAGGTTAAGAGTAGAACTGATTCAAACATGAAAATTATGATCCAAAATACAAAGAATATTATAGTACTTAAGAACAGAAATAGAATTCAACCAAATAAAACACTATGAGACAAACAATGATATTCTATGCATACCTCTTAGAATTGAGGACCACTGTGCCACCAAGGATAAAACGAATTCCAGAATTGCTGGCATTTTGTAAAGCGACAGTACGAGCCTCCTCATATGTTGTCCCACCAACAATAAAAATAATCACTTCCTGCGGCCTGTTAGGACAAACCATGAATATTAAATTGTAGAATAGATTTGTTTAGACTATACAAATAAATTAGAATTATAATTCTTTTAGATAAAAAACTATCATATCCTTTTAAGGTTTGAGATAATTGATGGAGGGTGATTGAGGTGAAGTTTGATGCTTACACAAATAATGATTTACTAAAATTCGTCTAGACCCCATGCTAACGGGATGTGGAAGAAAATTTGCATGGGTAAAAAGAAGTTTCAGGATTATATCAACTAGAGGGTTGGCATAGGGGACAGGTCAATTTGTGGCATGGTACCTGGTTAGAAGGTGGCACACTCAAGACCCAGTTCCCTCATATCCATGCTATTGCTCAAATAAAAGAATGCTTTGGTCCAGGAGTCTTACTTGGTACAACTGGGAATGGGGAGTGGTTTGTGAAGGTCACAAGGAACTTAAAGATTGGGAAGTTAAGAGCATGAGGTATGCTTCTTGCCTTTTCTAGGTTAGACTTGATAGAACCAGTGACGGAGAGATATTCTTTGTTAGATCCTTCTACAACCATTTGGAAAACAGAGAGGCTATAGGCAATAACTTTCCATCCAATCAAATTTACACGTTAATATATCAACCAGAATTGCTTTC